GCCTCTGCTGCACAGGGGGGGTTAATAGGCGCTATTAAATATTAACGTTGTGCTAATAAAAATTAAATTTTCAAGCGCTTGAGAAGCTGGAAATGGGAAATATTGCTGCGGGATTTTTTGTTTGTTTGTTTGTTTGAAGGAGGGGGAGAAAAATAATACGCAGGAAGGGGAAATAAATACAGCCCGAAAGTTAGCATCATCCTCTCGGTGACTTGCTAATCACATCTTTGCACTGACCACTATGCCTCCGAACATGTGTCACTTGGTGGAGCAAGAGCAAGCGCTGCTCACCTCGCAGAGCTCCGTGGGTCCTATTGTGTTTAAAACTGGCCCTTCTTTGCGCACCTTCTTATATATAGAAGGTTATTGCACCTTTACAGGGGGAATAATCTGCCCTGCTTTTCTACCTGGACAGCAGCTGTGAACGTGTAAACTTCAGCTACTAAAGGAATAAGTCAGAGCCTGGCGCTGTGCATGCCACTCAAGCCTCAGTGTGGTAGCCAACTAAAACAAATAGTTTCTATTCATATATAACTTTTAATGGGCAGAAGTATGTGCATTTAATAGCCTGTCTCCAGTCTTTGCACATGATGTAAATATATATATCAATGTAAAACTGAAATCCAGTGACCAGTTTCGCTTGGCTCAAGTGTGCAACCCAAGTGTCAAGGAAGCGTAATTTAAGTCTCTGTGTTGGGGATGGTAAGAGGTGTTGGGGGGGGAAGAAAGGGATGTGTTAGTGATGGGACACCACTTCAGGGAATGGTGGTGTGCGTGTATGTATATATACAAATGTGCACACCGTATATGTATACGCGTGTATGTGTACACATTCTTCCATACGTGTGTTCACTTATTTTTCCCCCTGCTTCCCTACAGAGTCAAGATGGCTAAAGGTGATCCGAAGAAGCCCAAGGGCAAGATGTCTGCCTACGCCTTCTTTGTGCAGACGTGCCGTGAGGAACATAAGAAAAAGAACCCTGAGGTTCCAGTCAACTTTGCAGAGTTTTCCAAGAAGTGCTCGGAGAGGTGGAAGGTACCTTAATTTGTGACTTCCTGAAGGAGTAATTCCTTATGGGATCTGCTAGGATGGTGCGTGTGTGCCCGAACATGAAGGGAGCTGGTGCTGTTCGCGTCTGTGTGCCGCTCTTGGCAAGGCGTCCTGGCCATTGTTCAGGTGCTGTTGACTCCTGTAACGATCATGAAGGCTTCAGCCCAGTGTATCTGCCTGTTCAGGTGCTTCCACTGCAGCCTGGCCTTTTTTCCTGTTTCCAAGCAGTACCTGTCAGCAGCTGCCTCCCTCCAGGCTTGTGTCCTCGAGGAGGACCCTGGCTGGGCTTGTCCCATTCCCATTGCTTCCCTCTCACTGAGTATGCCAGCTGTGGCTGCGGTCCCCAGTACAGGACCTTCGTCCCCAAGGTGGTCCAGTTAGAAAACAAACAAATTCTGAAACTCCCCTATCAAGTTGGTATGTGTTGGCTTGTTTACTTAAAGTTTGCCAGCTATTGAACAGTTGGGTAATCACAGGTTCGGTGTCTTGTTTTTTGGTGGGTTTTTATTTTAGACCATGTCAAGCAAGGAGAAGGCTAAATTTGATGAAATGGCCAAGGCTGATAAGGTACGATATGATAGAGAAATGAAGGACTATGGACCAGCTAAGGGTGGCAAGAAGAAGAAGGATCCCAATGCCCCAAAACGACCACCGTAAGTAACTTTGAGGCATTAAATGCACAAGTATTTTGGGTTGTTTTCACACCCTGTAACACAGCTGATAGCTTTCCATAAAGGAAGTGGATGGGGTATATCGTTGGTATAGCAGTATTGCTGATATTCATAGCTTACGATACTGGCTTGTAAAGCTTGTAATCTAGAGCACTTAACAGGAACTGTCAGTGCTTGGTACCCTTAAACTCATATTGATGAAAGTCATGGAAATGACTGGCTCACAGTGAGACTTGTGTATCGAAGATGAAACTGGGTGGGGGGGATAGGCAACACTTGATTAAAAAGCGTTGGGTGAAGGCTGCAGGTCTGGGCCTCAGTAAAATCAAAACATGTTTGGGTTTGTGTTTTGTGGTGTTTGGGTTGCTTTGTGGTTTTTTTATAAGTAAAAAAAAAAAAGTGTTTCTACTGAGCATGTGACTGCATGTGTGAACGTTGTGGATGAGAGATGAAGGGGTGTGCTACTGTGGTGCTGACTGTCCTCTGGTGCTTCTCCCCAAGGTCTGGCTTCTTCCTCTTCTGTTCAGAGTTCCGCCCTAAGATCAAGTCCACAAACCCTGGCATATCCATCGGGGATGTAGCAAAGAAACTGGGCGAAATGTGGAACAACCTCAGTGATGGTGAAAAGCAGCCTTATAACAATAAGGCAGCTAAACTGAAGGAGAAGTACGAGAAGGTAAGGCTAGTTTTCACTTGTGCCTCTTCCATACCGGCTCTTGTGTCGATGTGTTTCTGTAACATAGACCCAGCTAAGGTGGCCCCAGCGCAGTGAGCACCTCCAGCTGACGGACCTGTTCTCGCTGTGCTGTGTGCCGTGTTGGGACAGAGTTAGGTCAGAGAGCTGCAGGTGGATTCCAGTGAGGAGAGAGCTTTCCCCCAGTGGTGTGCAGCAGCGGCCGCTCGTGTTGCTCCAGCAGAGGGTTTGCTGTGCTGTTGGAGGAGCTTTGTCCTGTTAGCAGCAAACTTTTAAGGGAGGCTGAGTTCTCTTCTCCTCCTCGAAAAAATGACCATGGAAACAGGGTTCAAGGCCTCCAGCATCCGGAGGCAGCTGAGTGCGCTTAGATGTCTGCGTACCTGTGTGCTGCAATGCTGGCTGTCTCCCCGTCTGGGGGTGCCGCTGTGGAAGGCCAGTCCCTTTGCCTTAACACCCGCTGCTGTACAAATGCTGTGTGTGTTTGCTGCTTAGAGCAAATTAAGACATCCCCTTGACTTTGCAGGATGTTGCAGACTACAAGTCTAAAGGAAAGTTTGATGGCGCAAAGGGAGCAGCAACCAAAGCTGCTCGGAAAAAGGTAGAGGAAGAAGACGAAGAGGAGGAGGAGGATGAAGAAGAGGAGGATGAAGATGATGATGATGAATAAAACTGTACAATACTTGTCTCCATGTGAATACCATAGAGTAGGGGAAACACCATAAATGAAGCACCTCTTATTTGAGATGGTGTCTCTTGCCCTTATTAGGCTTAATTAAAAAAAAAAAAATTTGGATTCCGATCGCGTTGTAGTTTCTAAAAGTGCTCTAGAAATTGTAACTGGTTTACATGAAGTGGCCATGGGTGTAGTGAGCACCCTGAAACTGTATCAAAGTTGTACATATTTCCAAACATTTTTAAAATGAAAAGGCGCTCTAGTGTTCTCCTAACTCTGTGCACTTTGCTGTTGGTGTAACAAAGCATTTAAAAATGTTTCAAGCATTTTTTTAATTTGTAAGGTGGTGTTACTATATGGTTATTGGCTAGAAAATCCTGGGTTATAAACTGTACATATCTATAGTTTGTAAAAACTAGACAGATTCTTGTGGTACATGCTTAGAGTTATGATGCCTTAGAGGAGCAGTGATTACTTGGAAAGGCTGTACGTTCCCCGGGGTGCCATGGCCCAAAGCATGCACTGTGAGGGTAGATCTATTTACACTACAGTGGGCGTCCATTTAGCTTAAAGTTGTCTTTCTGTATATAGTGAAATAGCATTCTGCTGCCATTCTTAGTTGTGGAAGGGGGTTCAGCTGGCATGAGAAGTGTATGGATTTTTTTAGTTAAGTGCGGTAGTTTTTAAACTGAAACTGTAGACATCTCTTCATCGTCAACTAAGTGAAGAGCCAGTGCAGCAACTGAAGTTCAAAAACACTCTGTACTTAAATGAATTTGCAACGTTCTGTTTTTTTTGTATGTTTAGAATGCTGAAATGTTTTTGAAGCAAAATAAACAGTATTACATTTTTAAAACTGTTCTTGACAACACTCTAAATTTCTGGTTTAAAAGGATTTTAACAACAGCAAGAGGTTCATTTTGAAGTCTGTGGCATCCCTCAGGGCTGGTGACTTAGGAAACATTCTGACTCAAGGATTAAAATAATAAATAAATAAATAAATGGTGGCCAGCCAAAACTGGCTGAATTGAAAGAGATGGCTGCTCCAGCTAATATGCAATCGTAACTGTTTATGGCTGAGTGGCATAAGATGCTATGCAAGTTTGAACTTTATTACTTGAACTTGGGAGCCTAAATGAACATTCATGACGTAATTGTTTGTTTGTGTGTGTATATAGCAGCATTCAGAGATGCAGAGAAAGGTAGGTGGCTAGGAATGAGGCTGACACCATGGAATAAGTATAAAAGCATAGTTTGGATTTTTTTCAGTTGTGTTGGGTAAATTTATAGCCCAAATGCATTGCTGTACATATTAAAATGTGCCTTTTTTGTCCTGTGTTAAACTGTTTCAGACTTGTGGTTTTTTCTAGCATCTTGATTCGTGGCAGGAGCCAGGCGCCTAGTCTAACTCCCTGCTGAAGTAGGAGCGTGGCGCAGGTACTTAGTCTGTGTCCTTTCTCTAACGATGCAAGTTGTAACAGGAATTGGGTGCTGTGAGGTGGGTTGGGGGAGCGACGTAGGTCTCTTTCACTTTTGGTGACCAGCTGGTTGCGTCGCAGTCTTGCCATCTTTCCAAATCCAAGCTGGGCATGTTTTGCAGCCCTTGGAAGGGAAAGGTAATAATACCTGGTCTCTAGCTGGCAACTCTAACCTTGTTTTTCCATAGCAGGGAAACTGCACAAACTGGGAAAACTGTAGCACCCCCTCGCTACCCTTGAATTCCTTCCTTGCGCTGGCTGTAGTTAGCAGTTGGCATTTGCTTGGCAGCGAGGAGGAGATGGGGGTGTGAGGATGCTTGCATTAATAGCAGGTCAAAGTTGTGGGCTGCTGTGTGCAGCTGACTTAGAGGACAGGGCAACACAATGGTGTAAACTGTGGGTACGGGCTGCTGCCACTGCTTTGCTTGAGCCAAACTGCAGATTAATGAAGGCCAGACTTGCAGGCAATAACTGCTTCCGATGCGGCTAAAACTGCTTCATTCTCCAACTGGGTAGCACATCTGGCTTCTCGTGACTTCTTCAACAACCATAGTATCTTGGCAGAACAGTCTCATCTAGTGTTGAGATGGACTTAGAATCTGAAAGCAAAACCAAGCAAAACTTCATGTCGGATGAAGCAAGCTAATAAACTTTTATGAAACATAGCAACATGTAGCAACTTTTTTTAAGGCTAAGTTTCAGTTAGATCACTTAGAAATACTTCTGTAATTGCTTAATTATGGCAATTCTTAGTGTCTTTAATGCACAAAAAAAACCAAGTGTGAAATTAGCCCCCATTTTATGGGAAGTTGCATTTTAAAGCTACATCTGGAAAAGAAATAGATAGCTTTGTATTTGCTCCCCTCTCCGCACATCTTCTGATGCAAGGGAGAAGATGACTGGAGATGGTAGCACATGGAAATCTGATGGGGAAGTGGTGGAGCAGAAGAGGAAAGCGATGGCATCGTTTCAGGAGCTCTAATACTGTTTCTATTGTCTAGTTGGCAAAATCTCCCCTTAGCCACATATGGGTATTAGTGTAGATCACTGCTGTGCAAATCGAGCTTGGCTTTGAATTAACTGCTAGTGAGCTGAGCCCCTATTGATAGTATTAGCAAATAAGAACTAGAGCTGACACCTCTTTGTCTTTGTTATATTGGAAATCTATTGAGTTGCAGGGCTTGATTAAGGTCTTGGACCTCACAGTGCACTACCTGTTCCTGCCCTGCAAATTTCTGAAATACAGCATGCCGCTGGGATCCTGTTCAATACAATGCTAGCGCAGGACTCCGGGGCCTCAAATGTGGATATTGCAGATGTAGTGGTGATGTCTTCCCCCAATACTCTGCTGTTGATAAATAACATAGTGTGAATGTATGTAAATAGCACTATTTTCCCACCCATCACTGGTTTTTGTGTTCTGAGATGTCATCTCAAATATTGGGAACTGCTTCATTTCCCCCAGCCCCATTTTTTTTTTTTTGATAGAACACCCTCCAAATGCTTTTCCCCTCTGCTTTGGAGTGCTTGTGGTGTTTCAGAGCAGACACTTCTGCTTTGGGCTGCTGTATGGCTAAAATTTCAAGTTTGACTTCAGTCCCAAGCCAAGCAGAGTAAATGTGTCTCTTATTAGCTCCGTTATATGTAGAGAAGGGTAATGATAAAACAGATTTGGGGGAAGGGAGGGGAGAGACTCTCCCTTGCATGAATTTGGCAAGAGCTGAGTGCGTAGACCGCTTGTGTTCCCAAGACGTGGTTTGTTGCGTCCCCCCTGAGCCTGCTGAAGTTGAGCTCGGGTGGGCTGTGAGGACGAGGGGCTCAGTTAAGAAAAAGGAGATGGTGCTGGTACTGCAGCTGTTCAAGCCTGCTCGCCAGTCTGGATGCCTAAAACAGTGGCAGAGGTGTGAGAGCTTTTGATCAAGGGAAAGCATCGGCTGGTGCTGGTGTGGGGCGGAGATGGGCAGAGGCTGGCAGGGTGCTGCCCGGCAGCACTGACCCGTGTCGTGCAGGTCATTTCCCATGGTTGGTACCGTTTGATTTGCGGTCAGGACTATACATAGTCTTGAGAACACAGTCGCTACCAAAATGAACCACATCCCTCTGAAATCAGACCAGCTGGGGAGCGATGGGATGAACGGGGCTGCCGAGCTGCTCTGTGCAGGCAAGAGCCTGCCTCTGCCAAAAACGGGCCCGGCAGTCTGTTGGCGTGACCTGGGGAGGCAGAGGAGGGATGCTCTCCCGCTGCTCTGTGGTCTGTACGTTCCTAAATTCAGTGGAAATGTGGTAAATATTTGGTGTGAGCCCTTAAACTAGAGGGGGGGCTCTGGGGGAGGGACTGCATCGGGAAAGCCCCACCACGGGTGTGGGGTCAGCTCCCTGCAAGCAGTCACAAGGAAAACTGCGCTGCAGGATGGTTTCCTACTGCTCGTGTCTATCCTAATGCATCTGTGGGGAAGCAGTGCATTAATTTTTCTGTAATAAAATTAATTAAAAATCCTAGTCCAAATGCATATTGAATCAATTAGCAGCAAACGGCTGCAGCTCTAACAGAGGTCCATAGGAAGGTGAGAGTCTGCTTTGGGGATTGTACTGGGGATACAGGCAGAGTCAAAGCATCTCTCTTATCTGTTCCCTTTGAATGGCTGATTTTTATATAGTTTTATTCACTCCTAATAAACCCTGCAGGAACAGCAGCGAGGTGCGAGGGCTTCTCTTGGCTCTGGCTCAGGTGGTGGCAGGTGAATGGCTTTTCGCTTCCAGCCTCCAGCACAATTCTGGCAGCTGCCACAAGTTTATGTTTTCCCTCTGCTCACTCAGGCTGTTGTTCCGCAGGCAGAGAAACATCCCCCAAGTAAGCCCTTTGCTGCTGAGGGGTTTGGGAAGCAGGGCTTGGACCAGGAGAAGTGGCTGGGATGGGACCTCCCCGCTGGCTTTGCTGGGGCGAGAGCAGGATGCTGCATTTACGGCTGTGCTGCCGTTCGCTTCCTGATGAGCCCCACGCTCCCCTCTCTGAATGTTAGCCTGAGCTCGCGCTCCTCTAAAAGATAATGGGAGGAACTGTGACAAGTGACATATTTATTTCTTTCCGCTAGGGCTGCACCATATTTTAATGCAATAAACTGAATTGCAAATTGTGGCTGCGCTGCAAAACCAAGCGTGCTGGAGACCCTGTTACCAAACGGTTGCTCTCTAATGCTTCAGCTTGCAGTGGAGAAGAGACTGAATAACCAGTATGCCTGACGGGCGGTTTCATGCCCTATGGGGTATCTTCATCCCTTTTCGGCAGGCTGGGATCCGGTGGGAGCGCGGTGTGTGCCTGCCCCTGCTTGGGCAACACTTGGTGACCTGAGTTCAAAGCGCTCTGCAAACATCTCATCCCTCTGACAGGTCTGGTATGTACGTGCTAAAGCAGGGTGTGGATGAGGGGTGGCTCCTTGCCTGTGCTAACCATCTTGACTGGAGTTGGCCACTGCTACGAGCTCTTCCCTGAGATCCCTAAATTAGGCAGGAGGAAGCAGCCGCAGCCTTGCTAGAGCTGACAGCTATGCATCCCAGGTGGTGAGTACCTCCTTCTCTTGTTCCTGGACATGGCACGGCCTCATAGAAGCACTTATGAAGTAGCTAAACCAGGGTTAGTCTTCCTGTTAAGCTGGAACAGAGATGGCAAGTGACTTCCCTGGACGTTGCGTGGGGCAGCAAACTGGTGCTGTGATGGGTAAAGACCTTTGAAGCCCGGGCTGTATAAAGGGCTGGGATGTGTATCTTTGTCTTGTTGATGTTGAGAGAAGAAAGTGCATTAACTGTGGTAAGGGGATGCCTGTCCTGTAACTGTGTCCCCTGACACGGTTGACTTCATGTCCCTGGCTGAATCCAGCAGCCAGGAAAATTACAGCTGGGAGCCAGGGCTTGCTGTGGGACTGGGCATTTTGATGGTGTTTGCCGTTGACTTTTGAGCCCCAGAAGTGCAGAGTATTGCTGCTCTACCCTGGTACCTGCCACCTTGTCTTGCTTCTGGCTGGGAGCTCCCTGCCAAGACACCTGAGGAGCAGGAGCAGCCCCTCTGCCTGTATGTCGCACGCCTGTGCATGCTGCTGTAGCCAAGCCTGTTGTAAGGAGAGAGGCAGGTAGGATGTTACAAGTGATGGAGCTGCTTTTTCTTCTTCTTCACGGCCCCTCCCCTTGTAAAACTTGCTCAGGTATTTCAAGTCAGAAAAATGCTCTTTTTAAAAAAAGTATTAGTCAAATATGGCCTGGCTTTGTTGTTGTAAGAGTTTGTTACTTCTAAGTGTTTTTCACTGCTTCTTTGTGAAGCTCAAGTTTGCTTTATGTTAGTTTAGAAAATTAATACGTGTAGAAGGGTGAAGTGGTTTGAGGGATTGTTTGAGACAATCTTGCCTGCTGCTAATTACTGTGTGATTGCTCTTTTACTATGTGTTACCTGGGATGTACCAGCAGTAATTCATGGTCTTAGAGTCTCGAGAAGGCTGGAAACAGGGGCAGTTTGGTCTCTAGTATTCTTAAAAAATAAGTTGGTCAAGTTTCGTTCTCTTTAGCTTTAGAGCTCAGGCTGGAGATCTTCCCTGGACTCAGCTTCTGCAGTTGTTCAAGGTATTTCTACCTGCAGTTCCTGGCGAAGGTCGCTCCCCAGTAGCAGGGAGAGCAAAAGGAAACACACGCTGGGGTCTTCTGTTGCTTTATTTGGTTGCTTCATATAGTAACTTAATTTTTGCAAGCTGCTGGGAGGTTTTTCAAACCAAGCTCAAAGATCAAGGTGTCATTAAAAGTCCTAGAGACAACTCTTTCTTCCAAAGGCTTGTCTGGAAGTGGAATGAAACCTGACCAAATAGTGTTAAACTATCTGATTA